CATTGTGGCCGTCATCGGCGCTGTGGTGGACGTGCAGTTCGACGAGGGGCTGCCGCCCATCCTCAACGCCCTTGAGGTGCAGGGCAGGGAGACCCGCCTGGTGCTGGAGGTGGCGCAGCACCTGGGTGAGCATCCTCCCGCAGGGGGCTGCAGAGGTGGGTGGGAGGGGTCCTCCTGTGATGAGGTATCTCAATGACTTTCGTTCTTCTGAGCGTGCTGAAGCCAGAGATTTCAGTCTGAGAAGGAGGAAGGTGGCTGCGGCAGGGCTCTGCAGCCTGGGCATGGCCCGGGCTCGGTTCTTCTTCGTGCCCTTTTGTACCTGGTTCCCACCTTGGAAGAACCCTTCCTGACACTGCTCCCACTAGACTGTTCCCTTGGCAGGGCCTGCAGAAACTGCCAGCAGCTGTCCTCCAGGGTCAGCTCGAGGGCGCTGGTGTAACGCTGTCCTTGGGCCTTGGCAGGGGAGAACACTGTGCGCACAATCGCCATGGACGGGACAGAAGGCCTAGTGAGAGGACAGAAGGTGCTGGACTCTGGTGCGCCCATCCGTATCCCTGTTGGCCCCGAGACCCTGGGCAGGATCATGAACGTCATCGGGGAGCCTATTGATGAGAGGGGCCCCATCACAACCAAACAGTGAGTGGCGCTGGGAGCGCTGTGGGCCCTGCAGACCTGCGTCGTGCCAGGCTTGGGAGGTGGGTGTGGGTTCAGAGGCTGTTCAAATGGCTGCTGCTTCCCAGCCCCATCAAAGAAGCCTCACTACAAGCCTGCAGCAACTGCCATAGCTGGATATACACACAATTGGGTTGCTTTAAGTGGTCAGAGATGCACAAACAGTGAAGACAAACATGGGGTACCAGCTTTTGTATGTCCTTGCTGCGCGCATGCCCTTCTGGAAGGCGAGCAGCGTTGCACCCGCTCAAGCGGTCTCTTGGGTGGCTGGGATAGCGTGCCCAGCACCGTGGCAGATGGGAGCTGGTTTTGCTGCTCAGCCCCGCTCTGCCTTGCGCTGCAGGTTTGCTGCTATCCATGCCGAAGCCCCTGAGTTCGTGGAGATGAGCGTTGAACAGGAGATCCTGGTTACAGGGATTAAAGTGGTGGACCTGCTGGCCCCCTACGCCAAGGGTGGCAAAATCGGTACGTTGGATGCAGAGAAACAGGGAGGGGGGTTGTGGGTGGCACAGTGCCAGCCCTGCTGAGCAGTTCCAGGGCCTGCGTTGCCCCTGGCCCGAGGCTCAGGACTAGTCCCTCTGCAGGAGTTTCCTTCGCTGATGAGTAACCCTTTGACTTTCGTTCTTCTGAGCTTGCTGAAGCAACGTTTGATTATCTGAGGAGGAAAGGGGTGAAGGGAGTCATCGGGGCAGTTGAATTGACTTCAGGTTGACCAGGGCGTGCTTTCCCTCCCAGGTTTGTTTGGCGGTGCTGGCGTTGGCAAGACAGTGCTGATCATGGAACTGATCAACAACGTGGCGAAAGCTCACGGTGGTTACTCGGTGTTCGCTGGTGTGGGGGAACGAACCCGCGAAGGCAATGACTTGTACCATGAGATGATTGAGTCTGGGGTCATCAACCTGAAAGATGCCACTTCCAAGGTGCACTGGGCCCTCTTCTGTCAGTGCAGGGCGGGGGGTCATCTGCTCTGCCGTGCCCTGTTCAGCACGAGGAGTGAGAAAGAGGCCAGCGCCTTGCTAACACTTGGGTCTTGCTCGGCAGGTCGCTCTGGTCTACGGGCAGATGAACGAGCCCCCGGGTGCCCGCGCCAGAGTGGCTCTGACTGGATTGACGGTGGCTGAATACTTCAGGGACCAGGAGGGTCAGGACGTGCTGCTCTTCATTGATAATATCTTCCGCTTCACCCAGGCGGGCTCGGAGGTGTGTGCTGCCCACGGGGAGGGCCCTGACCCTAGGGCAGCTGGGCTTACTGCTGCACGGTCCTGCCTGTTGGGTTCCTGGTGGTGCTGAGGTACCGAAGGTACCGACCAGCCCAGGCTGGGCCTCCCCTCTGCAGGAGCAGCACCAGGCCCCCCTCGGCGGGGCTGCCTCCTTGCTCAGGAGCTGTAGGGTCTCTCACCAGGTCCGTTCCCTCCCAGGTGTCGGCCTTGCTGGGTAGAATCCCCTCTGCCGTGGGCTACCAGCCCACGCTGGCGACCGACATGGGTACCATGCAGGAGAGGATCACGACCACGCGCAAAGGCTCTATCACTTCTGTGCAGGTAACAGCGGGGGGCCTGGGCTGGGGCCCGTCGGGCTGGGGGAGGCCCCGCGGGCTGCCGGGCTCCTGTCTGTGCTGCAGTTGCCTCTGGCCGACAGTCCCCTCGCTCCCCAGGCCATCTATGTGCCTGCTGACGACTTGACTGACACTGGCTCCGCCCACTTGGACGCCACGACAGTGCTGTCCCGTGCCATTGCCGAGCTGGGCATCTACCCTGCCGTGGACCCGCTGGACTCCACCTCCCGAATCATGGACCCCAACATTGTGGGGCCCGAGCATTATGACGTGGCCCGTGGCGTGCAGAAGATCCTGCAGGTGAGGGGGCAGGCCAGGCCCCTGTGGGCAAGGCTGGAGGGGACGTGAACACCAGTGCGGGCTGCTCACAGCCCCGTCTCGCCCCATAGGACTACAAGTCCCTGCAGGACATCATTGCCATCCTGGGCATGGACGAGCTGTCTGAAGAGGACAAGCTGACAGTGGCCCGCGCGCGCAAGATCCAGCGCTTCTTGTCCCAGCCCTTCCAGGTGGCCGAGGTCTTCACCGGCCACCTGGGCAAACTGGTGCCGCTGAAGGAGACCATCAAAGGCTTCAAGCAGATCCTGGCAGGTGAGGTGGCCATGCAGGCAGGAGCAGAGAGGAGGCTGGGGGGTCCTGAGCTGGGCTTTGGTGGGGCCCTGTCCCCCCACCCTGACAGTACCGGGTCCCTTCAGGTGAATACGACCACCTCCCGGAGCAGGCCTTCTACATGGTGGGGCCCATCGAGGAAGCAGTGGCCAAGGCCGAGAAGCTGGCCGAAGAGCACGCGTGAGCAGCACCGGCTGGGGCGGGTTTCCCCCGCCCCCCCCCCCG